CAGAGGATGTCAACTGGCAGCAAGGGATCCACCGGTAAAGATTCAACCATGGCCAAAGACAGATGTCCCATAGATTCGATTGCATATCGACTATGCAGGGCCCATAAATGGATCTTATTACCTGATCATTTTGGATAGTTTCACTAAGTGGCCAGAAATTGTTAAGTGCAGACATCCGACGTCAACAAATACAATAAACGCATTTTTAGTCGCTTTGGACTCCCTAAAACTTTAGTCGGCGACAACGGAACGCAGTTTACGGGAAGAGAATTCAAGGAATTCTGTACATCATTGTCCATTGATCACGTGACAACACCAGTATATCATCCAAGATCGAATGGACAGGCGGAACAATTCGTGGACACCTTTAAACGAGCGTTGAAGAAAAACCAAGGCGTGGACACGAATGAAAGAAGTATTCAGAAATTTTTGGCAGTATATAGAATCACGCCAAACCCGAATACGACGTCAGGGTTATCGCCAGCAGAGTTAATGTTTGCGAGAAAAATACGCTCTGTGTTCGACAGGCTGTTGCCTAGTCCGGCGAAAAAATCTGCTAAAAAAGAAAACCAGATGACTAAAGTGTATAAGCCAGGTGACAAAGTTTTTTTTTCAAGAACTTTAGGGCTGGAAAAATGTATTGGGAAGGAATGATAACCAAAATAATTGGACAGGTTATATATAACATAAAAGAGGAAAAATTTCGGTGCAAAAGACACTGGAATCAATTGAGACCCAGACACACTACAGAGGTCAGGGAAAATACCGAAGAGATTCCAATGGAAGTCCTGTATGACACATTTAAACTTCCCGTTCCAGTAAGTCAACGTTCGCCAATGGATGTATCCCCGATCTCAAGGCCGTAGGTACCGGTGTGCCAAACGCCACCACTGCAAGGAGGATTGAGGCGAAAAAGACTTAGGAAAAAAAAAATCAATCGATTAAGTCCAGACCCTAAAAAGAGAAAAATATTGAAGCTAAATATCACAGGAAAATTTAGCTCAGGGGGAGGTGATGTAATGAATATGCATACACCTGGGTTAACCCCTCATAGTAATATGATTGGCTGGTGTCAGCCATAAATACAGACTGATGTGGAGGTACAGGGACTACGCCTATTGTCTACGTCTATTGCCTACGCCTATTGCCTACCAATACGACGAGGACCAGTCCATTACGGCTACCTGCTAGATTGTCCTACTCGGTTACAGTAGTCCAAAACCACTTTGCTACTTTGAATAAATATATCCCTTTCCGGGACATATCAAAAACAGAGGAAGAAAAACGAAAACTAGGAAGAAAGAGTGAAAAATAAGGGGAAAAGATAAAAAGAAAGAAGAAAAGAGAAAGAAGAAAAGTAGAAAGAAATAATGAAAAGAAAAATAAGCGAACAGAAAAAGAAGAAGAAGAAGAAGTAAAGAAGAAAGAAGAGAAGGCAAGAATCAAAAAGAAGAAAAATGAAAACAACAAAGAAAGAGTAAAAAAAAAGATGAAATGGAAGAGAAAAGAAAAAGAAGAAAAGTAGAAACCAATAATAAAAAGATAAAAAAAGGAGAACAGAAAAAGAAATGAGAAGAAAAAGAAGTAAAAAGAAAGAGATGAAGAGATGAATGAAAAGGAAGAAAAAGACAACAACAAAAAAGAGTGAAAAAGAGGAAAAGCGAGTAAAAATAGAAAGAAGGAAAGTAGAAACCAATAAAAAAAGGGGAAGAAATCAAAAAGAATAAAGAAGAGTAACAAGAAAAAAAAACATAAAGAAGACATGAATCAAAAAGAGTAAGAAAAAATAAAACAACAAAGAAAGAAGAAGAAGAACAACAACAACAGCAACAACAAGGAAGAGGAGGAGGAGCAGAAAAAGAAGAAGGAGGAGGAGGAGAAGAAGAAGGAGGAGGTGGAGCAGAAGAGAAGAGGAGAAGAAGAAGAAGGAGGAGGAGGAGAAGAAGAAAAAGAAGAAGAAGAAGGAGGAGGAGCAGAAGAAGAAGAAGCAGAAGGAGGTGAAGAAGAAGAAGAAGAAGAAGAATGAGGAGGAGGAAGAGGTGGGGAGGAGAAGAAGAAGAAGAAGAAGGAGGAGGAGAATGAGGAGGAAGAGGAGGTGGGGAGGAGAAGGAGAAGAAGAAGAAGAAGAAGGAGGAGGAGAAGAAGAAGAAGGAGGAAGAGGAGGAGGAGAAGAAGAAGAAGAAGGAGAAGGAGGAGGAGCAGAAGAAGAAGAAGAAGAAGCAGAAGGAGGTGGAGAAGAAGAAGAAGAAGAAGAAGAAGAAGAAGAAGAATGAGGAAAAGGAAGAGGTGGGGAGAAGAAGAAGAAGAAGAAGAAGAAGAAGAAGAAGAAGAAGAAGAAGAAGGAGGAGGCTGAGGAGGTGGGGAGAAGAAGAAGGGGGAGAGAAGAAGGGGAAAGAAGAAGAAGGAGGAGGAGGAGAAGAAAAAGGAAGGAAGAGGAGGAGGAGGAGGAGAAGAAGAAGGAGGAGGAGAAGAAGAAAAAGGTGGGGAGGAGGAGAAGAAGAAGAAACAATAAACTGTCTGAGGTGCCTAATAAATTTCCAAGATCTATAATTTCAGCCACTTCACTTTCTATAAATTATTATATACCTTATCAAATAATCAGTAATTAATTTTAAAACGCCGCTTGTTGGTTTATCAGATTTATTTCGCCGTAAAGGCGACTGTCAGTTCTTTTTCGTGAGATCAATTAATTCCGATCTGCTGCTACGGATTTTAGAAATATCTTTATTTTATTTCATTGATTATTTTCGTCTATGTATATACGAGAAGGGTATTAATTTTATCTTTGTTGTTTAGGAAAATTAATTTAATTATTTGTTAAAGCAAATCGCTTGTGATTCCCTCAAGCGATCTCGGTAAACAATAGTCAAGCTAATTAAACGGTAATATCAACCGTTTCCTTATAAGGAAATATTCTGGAATTCACTGAGCGAACAACTACAGTCGGTTGAATTTTCTCTTTCCTGCACCGATCGGAGTTTCCTTTCTAACCTTTTTATCTTGAAGTCGGGTGGAACGTCAATAGTGTGATTATGATATTTACACGATTTACACTGTTTAGATTCTTGTCCTCATCTTTATTGTCATGTTCACGACGTTTCGGCCGTTGTACGCTCCGGCCTTCTTCAGGTGATTTACTTTGGAATTGCTGACCGAAACCCTCATTTCATCCATGGGGGTAGATTGTTCTAGTTCCACGTGCCATGCCTCCTCTGGATATCTTAGTTCCAGTTAATTCCCTCTAGTAACAACTCTCCAAGTTGTTCGTATCGATTATGTTATTATTTTTTTGTTCGGGTTACATGTGCCATTCATTTTAGTTGTTGCTGCACTTGGTAGTCCTCAGGGCACGTGGTTTCTGTTATTTGGCGCAATACTTCGCTTGTGATTCTTGCCTTTGGCAGAACGATGGTCTTCTCTACGACTGACATGCTTCATTCGCTGGCAGACATTTTTAACCACTGATGCAGGAAAACGTTTGTATACAACTGACAGTTTAGATATTTCGAGTTTGGTGCCATGTTATGATGTCCATATGGAAGTCTTGATCTGACGGAACTATTTAAGAACATGTGATTCTCGTATATATATATATATATATATATATATGTATATTAGAATTTTTCATATAGACAAAACCAATTTAATCACTACAAACATGTAACTTCGTTTGAGTGCATTTAATTGCACTTCGACTGGTATGAACCAAAATGGTTATGAACAATTCTGTTTGTAAATAAGCCGCATGTGAAACTTCACTTCATTTTTTCCATTTGCTTGAAAAAAAAACATTTTGGTTCTCACAGTTGAAGCGCAATAAAATGCACTGAAACGAAGTTACATCTTTGTACCTGTGAAATTTTGTTTAATATTTAATTAGTTTTTTGCTTAATAGGGGTAGATAGGTTCGCCTATCGTCCGGTTTACACTCCTCCTTGATCTTTTCAACTGTTGTAGATGTTTATTCTGTATTTCCTGTTTACGACAAGTTTTTCGGGTTCCTTCTAAAGTCTACTTCAACCCTAAACATTCTATATCTCCCCCTAAACCGTGAAATTTTATTTACTGTTTATTTAGTATTTTGTTCAATAGGGGTAGATAGGTTCGCCTATCGTCCGGTTCACACTCCTCCTCATTCTTTTGAACTGGAGTAGAGTTTTATCCTTTGTTTCCTGTGTTAAAACTGGGTTTCAGGTTCCTTCTAAAGTCTACTTTAACGTCTAACCTCTCTGCCTAAGCTCTGAAATTTTGTTTAATATTTAATTAGTTTTTGCTAAATAGGGGTAGATAGGTTCGCCTATCGCCCGGTTCACACTCCTCCTCATTCTTTTCAAATGTTGTAGAGGTTTATCCTTTATTAACTGTTTAAGACTGGGTTTTGGCTTCGTTCTAGAGTTTGCTTCAGGTCTATACTTTTTACGTCTCCGCCTAAACTCTGAAATTTTATTTAGTATTGTGTTCAATAGGGGTAGATAGGTTCGCCTATCGTCCCGTTCACACTCCTTCGCGGTCTTTTGAACTGGAGTAGAAGTTTATTCTTTGTTTCTTGATTAAGATTGGGTTTCAGGCTACTTCTCAAATCCTTTCATTCGCTTTCATTCCTAGCAGCCGGTTGCCCTTAGGGATATTATCGCCTTGCTTGGGGTGAATTAATTAAAAAAAAAAAAAGAAAAAAAAAAAAACCCTGAGAAACAAAACCTTTGACGGCGTGGGTGATCGGTTAGCGGTGGAATATTGATAGAAATAAACTATTTCCAAAATTTCGAATCTTAATTAAAGATTAATTAAAACATTAAAGACTGCAGCTAAAATGAAAGACACGTTTTTAGACGGAAACGGTTCAATTTGCCAGCAATTTCTTTCCTTCGCGAGCAAGAAAAGGCCGTTCTCTTGAACTGAAATAGAACGCTAACTGTTCTTTGAAAACGGTGTTTACAATATTTCTCCCAGTTTAGCAATTTTCAGAAGCGCTGCCCGTTTTCTCGTCTTTCGCATTCTCCATGACCCCTGCGGTTGCAATTTTCCCTTCCGTTTTATTTTGGGAATTGTGAGAAAATAAGGAAATTGGCGAAAAGATGACAACATCAGTAAATAAGTGGTCGAATAATTAATCGGCTATTTCTGTATTATTTTCTTTTTTCAATTTAGGTTTCAGTGGAGAATTGGGAAGTTGGATTTGTTTCTCTTTATTTTCGTCTCCCATTTTCTTTTTTCTTTCTTTTTTTTATTGTTTCTTCCTTTCTCAGACTCTTTTCTTTCTTTATTCGATTCTCTTTCTTTCTTTCTTTCTTTCTTTCTTTCTTTCCTTCTTTCTTTTTCTCCGACACTTTTCTTTATTTATCCGATTCTCTTTCTTTCTTTCTTTCGTTCGTTCTTTCTTTCTTTTCTTTAATTATCCAATTCACTTTCTTTCTTTCTTTCTTTCTTTCTTTCTTTCTTTCTTTCTTTCCAATTCATCTTTTTCTTTTTCTTTTTTTTTTTCTTTCTTTTTCTTTATTTATCATCGATTCTTTCTTTTCTTTCTTTCTTTCTTTCGTTCGTTCTTTCTTTTCTTTTTCTTTAATTTATCCATTCTCTTTCTTTCTTTCTTTCTTTCTTTCTTTCTTTAATTATCCAATTCTTTCTTTCTTTCTTTCTTTCTTTCTTTCTTTCTCCGAATCCTTTGTTTATTTATACGATTCTCTTCCGTTCA